CAGGAGCTTTAGATACCAATTGTTGGAGCACAAGGAAGATAAAAGGCAAAAGGAATATTTACTGATAGCTTCAAAAATAAGGATTTACAATGAATTACAATAACCTACTCCACTAGGCTATTTATACACACAAATTAAATCTAAAATATATCTTCTACAAAGATATACGAAGATCTAAGATTTATATCTTCTAACAAAGATATAAACAATCTAAAAGATATTCCTAAATATAAACTAATATCTAATTAAATCTAAATTAATTCTAACAAGCCATAATACCTGTAGAATAAACGAATAAAGTATTAAACAATCACTCTTGTACAAAAAATAGTGAAAAAGTTGTCTACTACATAACTGAAAGTATACTTTCGGTTTTAGTCAAGAACAAAACCAGAGATACACTTTCGGTGTGACCTGCAACTTAACAAGTTCGTCAACGGCGAAGCTGTTAGCCAATGGGGACAAAAAAACAAGCATTGATCGTCAAAAAGACATGGCTAATACTTCCGTATTGACTTCAAACATTGCATGAACTAAAAAAAACTATATTTTACTCCCCCAAAACACAATTTGTACGTAAAATCAAAATAACTCAATAATGCTAAAAAATAACTCACAATGATTGATTCTCCTTGGTTGATTCAGATTATGCTTGATGATATTCCTTATTTGTTGAGATAAATTGCTGGATTTTGAAATAATGGGTGTTTTGGAGGTTTGGGTTTTGTGTTTTGAGTTTTGCTGCAAATCAGGAAGGGGAAGAGGTGGTGCGGGTATAAGTCAAATTATATATCGAAAATACACTAACGGTTGAGAACCGATGTTAGATATATGGTTCGTATCAATGTGGTGGAGTGTGACTTCTCACGGTGTTTTGTTTAATTTCATTTAGAGTGTAACCGGAAATACAATATCGATTTGAAAACGGTAAGTATATTTTCGATTATACGTTGTTTTCATATAATTGAGTGTGCACTGAAAATACATTTCCGATTTCTAGAGATATTTTTGGAATTTCACACTGGTGTCTAAGAAACACATAAGGTGTATTAAGAAATTCTCCTCTAAAATTGTCCCCCTTTAAACACAATAAAGAGATATATATTTATAATAGCAAAAAAACTCAAACCCAAAAAACACAATCCATTAATTATTAAAATAAAATATTATAAAATATCGTATAATATATTATATATTAATTTAGACTATTTCTAAATTAATGTATATCCAATATTCTAACATTAAATAATGTGAAATAGTCAAATTCAAAATCTGCTAACCGTTTAAATTGAATATTTTTACTGCTTTTCGACTTCTTATTTTTTAACAATCTCAACACAAAAAAAATGTTTCTCTTCTTTAACAAAGATTTTAAGTCACACTTTAATAAAAATTGATAAAAACACTGAAGTTATAACTCAGTGGAATGAAAAATATTCTCTATGCAAAAGTTATGTGCTTATTTGACTTGCCGACGATTTGTATGATTATTATAATGCTTACAAGTCTACTGAAGAAATTTGAGATTCTTTAAAAAAGAAGCATGTTACTGAGGAAGTTGAAGTTAAATATTATGTTGTGTGTCACTACATCAAATACAAGATGATTGATAAGATAGTTAACGAAATCATTGCCTTTAGAGGAGAAATTTCAAGAAGTGCTATCATAGAATCTAAATCCTTCAAAGGTCCAACTCGTGGAGAAATTTATAAGTAAAGAAAGTTATTACAAGTTTAAAGTAAGAAAATATAGGACTAGAGAGTTTACTGGTCATTGTAATCAAGATTGATTATAGTGAAAAAATTTGAAGTGTGAAGAGACTAGACTAGCTTTAAGTTGTACACTAAATCAGGATAAATTCTTTGTGTGAATAATTTTCTCTACTCTATTTATTTTCAGCATGTTATGTTTTCGAAAAAAAATTTAAAATCTAACGATTCAACCTCTTCTTTCTTTTTTTGTATTTTTCTCACCTTCACATATTTGTACATCATTATTAAAAATAGGATTAAATGTCTTTTATCCCTCTATAATAGTAGTGAGTTTTGATTTACCTCTATTTTAAAAAAAAATTGTTTTTGTCCTTCAACAAATAAGATTCTCTCTAATTTGACTTTGAATCAAGATTTCAACCGAATTTACATATGTGGCACTTGATATATTTTTTTTTATTGTTTTTTTTTAAATTTCATGTGAAAATTCGACTTTTTTTTTTAATTTTTATTTTTCCCACTTGAACAATTAATTAGTTTCAACATTTTTTATTCCAAAGAAAAATAGCCTAAAGTATAGCCTATAGAGTAGTTTTAACAACTCATATTCCAAAAAAAAAAATCATAATTTTGTTGATTTTGTAAAAATTATGATTTAATATATAAAATTTTACTTTCATTACTTGTGTGAGCATCAAAATTTACAAGAATTAAATGAAAAACACGTAATAATTGATTAAACAATACTACAAAAAGATAAATTCTATTGATATTTTAAATCAATATAATATAAAATAATATATGAGTGGAGCGAGTAATATGTTATTCTAACAGTCAAGATTTTCTTAGTGCTGCTTCATACATTTCATAAATACATGTAACTTCAAAAAATGATTCAAGAATTAATAATTTTGTGGATTTTATAAAAACTATGATTTAATATACAAAATAATACTTCATTAATTGTGTGAAAATAATAATTTATTACAATTAAAAGAAAAGTGTAATAATTAATTAAACATCAATAATAATTTATCGATATTTTAAATCAATATAATATAAAATAAAAATATTCTTTTAAATGTTACTCTAATATGAAAATCTTATTTTAGTTAGTAGTATACAAGAATTTTTGTCACTTATTAAACATTAAATTTTGAGAATTTATCTCACATTATTGGAAAAACTTACATTAATAAAAATTACGGGTAAAATTTGAAATAATTTTTTATTACTTATCTTTAATTTCTGTCAAGCATTAAGCAATATTAAAAAAATTGGAAGCTGCAGCGTTTGATTTTATATGAAAGGTTTCAAAATAAAAATTAAGAATGCCTTTTATAAGATTATGAGTTATTTTATAAAATTAATTTTTATTAAAAATATTAGGAAAAATTAATAAATTAAAATTAATAATTAAACAAATAGTAAAGTAATATTTATATTTAGGGTATAATAAAAATAATAATATTAATCAATCATGTAATAAGATTAATTTAATAAAAATAATAGTGTTTTTTTTACAATTCTATTATATATTTTTTATTTTGTGTATCAAATTAATGTATCACACAAAATTAAATACTTACAGAAAAAATTAAATATCATACAAAATTAATATATCAAATTAATATGGAATAAATAAAATAATAAAAATTTTCAAATGGGAGAAAATAAAAATTAAAAAAATAATAATTAAAAAAGTAAAGAAATAATAATAATAATAAAAATTAAAAAAAAATTGGTTAGTTGAGAGGTAAAAAGATTTTTTTTAAAAGAAGATAAATCAAAACTCACTAGTATTACAGGGATAAAAGGTATTTAACCATTAAAAATAAAAATTTTATTAGAAAAGGATAAGTCACTTATGATATGTTCATATTAAACCTTGATATGAATAAAGTGGAGAAAACTATAACATTTCATTAATCAGAATGTATCTCAATATTGTATTTCTATCAAAATTTGAATATGTGATCACCTTAATTAGATTATGAACAACCTCATTTACTTGTCTTTCAATAAACTTTACGTTAGAATTGTTAAAATACGTAGAAAAGATAAGTCTCTATAATGACTAACACTAAATTTTGGATAATCTCTTTTAAGAGGAATGAAAATTGTCCACAATTATTTTTGCATTTAATTCAAAATCTACTGATCCCATATTTCGCCCACTCACACATTGCAAATAGGAGAGAACCACTCAATTTTAGCTAAAACAGAAGCATTGTGTTCATCTTTGATACAAACACCAATTATCACTTTATTATTTAAAGACAAAAAGGAAGCATCCACGTTCCATTTAAATATCTTGGTTGATATTGTTCTAAATTGCTGGACTTTGTCATGTAAACATACACATTATTTCAAGTTTATGTTCAAATTCAAAGTTATCTTTTAATAATCTTGATAAAAATGAATGTAGTAATTGAGTTTTTAAAAAAAACAAAGCTCACATAAGTTACTAGTTTAAAAAAATCAAGTTTTTAAATTAGATACTCTTTATACATGTGAACTTAATGAACCTTAATTAAAAAACAAAAACAATGTTTTGAACACTTTTATCGAAGACTTTTTAGATTATACTTTTCTTCATCTAATAAAAATTAAAAGAGGACCTAACATGTTTAAGATAGTCCATGGTCAAGTCAAATTGTATACAGTACCATAAGAATGCAGGTTGTTAACTCAGTAGTTATGTTTCCAACATCAAATGTTTTTAACATTCAATGGTTGGTTTGTGATTGTGAAAGCCGCCGGCTGCATAACAGCAAGCTCCGACAACCAATGCCTTGCGCAAAAAACATCGGTCAACAAGTTTGTACTTACTAGTTTTCTGTAAGTACATTTCTTATAGATTTTAACTAACACAGAAAAATGAAATGAAACTCTTTTGGAAGTTAGGCGTATCAGATAAACACTAATTTCATAACAAAATTGAGTAACACTTGCACCAGAAATCCCTTTTAAGTCCTAATCAACTAACTTTGCAGAGACAACTATAAAATGATTGCAGTTTCTGTAACACAGACAGAACTATAAAAGGGTTGCACATTCTGAAACATCACTTTTGAAAACGAAATACGTTACAGATAAATTCCACATTTAGTAAAATGCAGGAGCCGCGTCAAAAGAAAATATTAAACTCGTGAGCTCAACACTTGCTTTTAACATTGTTGAGTAACCTGTCCATTTATTATTGAAACAAAACAATGGACCAATCATGACTTAAGCAAGGAAAATAGCTTTTAGGCAAAAAGAAAACAAAAGGAAATTGACCGTGTCTCAGGAACACCAATCTCGAGCATTCTGGAACATGCGCAACCAAGGACTAGGTCCCTTCTTGTCAACATTCCACTGCTTTGGATACCATGGATATTGCCACATTAAGAAGCAACGCTCCGGATGAGGCATCATTGCAAGATGACGACCGTCAGGAGAACAAATAGCTGCTACTCCTAAAGGAGAGCCATTTACATTGAAAGGATATGTCTCTGTTGGATTACCATCATCGTCACAATATCTTATAGGAGCTAACTCTGAATGAACAATGCGCTCCAAAACACCTTCGTCTGGGAAATAAGCTCTTCCCTCGCCATGAGCAGCCCATATCCCCATTGTACTACCGGCCATGCCTTTGAACATCATAGCTGGCGAGTCCTTTATTGTCACGTTTGTAAAGCGGCATTCGAACCGCCCAGACTCATTGTGGATGAACCTAGGCTGCGATAGGTCGCCGCCAGCACCTAGTGTACCCCCAACTTGAGGTCCCGGTATCCATCCCAACAAAGCCATAAGCTGACAACCATTGCATACACCTAGACTGAAAGTGTCGGGACGCTTGTAAAAGTCTTGAAACTGTTTTAAAACGGGCTCGTTGAATCTTATGGAAGCAGACCAACCTTTTGCGGAATCAAGCACATCGGCATAGCTAAATCCACCAACAAACACAATACCACGAAACTCTTGCAAAGAGATAACACCATTAAGAAGGTCTGACATAGTGACATCCCATGGTTCAAAACCGGCAGCATGAAACGCTGCAGCCATTTCTCTGTCTCCATTGCTCCCTTCTTCTCTTATCACAGCTACTTTAGGTTTTAAAGCAGCAGACATATACTTATCATCGGTGAAGGCAGGAGTATAGGTCAGTTCCCATGAAGGCTCATATCGATGTTTAAGTCCTTCTCTCTCCATATCCACACAAGAAGCCAATCTTTGGAATTTTTCCAGCTGAAAACTAGTATCTTCCCACATGTCCCTAAGAATACTAGTTTTTTCTTCTAAACAAGTCACCCCATCAACCTTAACTTCGATCGATGGAGCGGCAGTTACTTGACCAATGGTTTCAGCATAAACTCCAAAGCGGTTCAATTTATCAATCACAATACCCAAATTTTTCTTGCTGACCTCAATAACTAACCCAAGCTCTTCAGCATACAGTGTTTGGAAAAGGCTGTTACCTTGGGAATTCAAGTCCAAAACAACTCCACGATTACCGGCAAATGCCATCTCTAACGCACAAACTAGTAGCCCACCATCACTGATATCGTGACCGGCAGAGATCAGTTCCTCTGTAAGAAGCTCTTGAACACCTTCAAAGACCTTTTTAAGGTAAGGAATATCATCAAGATCAGGACACTCGTTTCCAACTTGGTCAAATGCTTGGGCAAGAGCAGATCCACCTAATCGCCGCTTTCCCTTTGACAAATCAATATGAAGCAAAATACCTTCATCTTCAAGTTTTAAATCTGGAGTCACTGTTTTTGTAATATCAGGACACGTAACATAAACACTGATTACAAGATTTCCAGGAGCCCTGACAACTTCACTTCCAGAATGAGCTGCCATTGAAAGGCTGTCTTTTCCTCCATCAATAGCAATACCAAGTTCAATCATTGCTTCTGACAAAGATATCGCAGCATCATACATGGCTGCTCCTTCTCCATCAAGCTTGGCAGCGTACATCCAATTGCCACTTGCTTTGACATCAGAAAGTGAAGTCACCTTAGCCCATACAAGATTGGTGAGCGCTTCTCCAACAGCTAACCGAGCCATGGCCTTTGGATCTAACAGACCTTTGATTGGTTGTTCCCCAATGGCACATGCACCTCCAGTTATGTCAGTAAAAGTCTGAGCAGTAACAGCGACATCAGCAAGAGGAATCTGTAAAGGGCCTACAGTTTGCTGTTGTGCCACTAGACCGGTAACACACCTATCAACTTTTGTTGTTAAGAAGCGTTTTGAACATACAGATGGCAAACTAAGTACCCTTTTTAGAGAACTTATTACTGTGATCCCAGGGGCAATATCAAGTGGCTCCCGCTCATAAACAATTCGATTAAACTCAAAAGATTTCTGTGGCATGTCACCAAGGACCTTCTCAAGTTCAAGATCCACGGCAGGGGGAGGGGGAGGGAGTCCATTTGAGAGACACTTCTGGGTTGCTAAACTATCAACTAACACAACTCGACCATCACCACTAATAGTTCCAATCACAGCCATTGAAACCCTTTCCCTTTTACAAATTGATTTTAAGAGCCCGTGACTTTCTGGCTTCACCAAGATTGCATCTTGCTCCTGATACTCTGCACCCCAAATCTCTAGAACAGACATTGTATGATCACCAACAACAATTGCTCGGATATCAATCTCAGCACCCTTTGGATATATAATTTCCTTCACAACATTACAGTTCCCACCAGCACCTTGATCATGAATACTCACAATTGGATTTTTATCCCCCAACTCAATACAAGCACGAACAAGACGATACAGTTTCTGTGACATCTCAGCATCCCCACGTTGCACAGCATTAAAATCAAGCTCTGCGTCATTCTGCCCACTAACCATACTTGAGGCTGCCCCGCCTCCCATCCCAATACGATAAGCGGGGCCTCCAATTTTAACAACCAGCATTCCAATCTCAGGCTCTCCTTTTGCTATATGAAGGTGGTCAATCTGCCCAATGCCTGCACTAAACATGATCGGCTTCAACCATTCTCGCCTATCTCCACTAGGAAGTCTCATTCCAAAAGTTCTACAGAAGCCTTGGATCAATGGCTCTCCAAATTTGTTCCCATAGTCGGATGCACCATTACTTGCATCTATAAGAATCTGCAAAGGTGGGGCCAAATTTGACGGATAAGTAAAAGACGGATCTTCCCATGGAGCATATATCCCTGCTGTGTTGAGATTTCCAAGACAATAACCAGCTGTAGCTGCTTGAACAAACGAACCTCTTCCTGTTGCATGCGTATCTCTAATGCGACCTCCAGCACCTGTCTCTGCACCAGGATAAGGTGCCACTGCACAAGGAAAGTTATGTGTTTCAGCCGTAAATAAGATATCCAGGTCGCGTTCTGTCAAGTCTAACGGACTTGTTGAACCAGGCTGAACTGGTCGTAGCGGCTTCACTTGGAAACCCCTAATTGCACTTGAATTATCCTTAAAGCCAATAACTGAGTTATTTGGATTCGCCTTTAAAGTACTTTTCACAATTTGCATAAGAGTCTTATTCATAGGCTTTCCGTCAATAAAAATCTTTCCAGTAAAAAACCAGTGCCTGCTATGTTCACTGTTAGACTGAGCAATATCAAACAACTCCACATTAGTTGGATTACGCTTAATGTCGTCTCTGAAAAGTTTGGTGTAGTATTCCAAATCCTGGTCATCAAAAGCAAAACCCATCTCCAGATTAATCTCTTCCAACGCTTTCCTCCCCTTCTCCATGACAGGTATATAAAAAAATTCCTCCGGAACTACACTGGTGTCAAAGGAAGTTAGCTTCTGAGTATAAACAGATTCAGTCATCCTATCATGCACCATAGCTGCAAATTCATTAATTTGATGTTCTTGTAATTCACCATCCGTGTACAACAAATACCTCCTCGATCGTTCCAAACGGTTCACTTCCGTCAAACCACACGCTTGGCAAATTGACACAGCATTCGCAGACCATGCCGTGGTAAAAGATAACCTAGGCCCAACCTCTACTATAACTCTCTCCAAACCCTCCTTCCTCTTCTTCTCAAGAAAGCTCTCAGTTCCCAAATTCTCAGGCTCAAATGTTTCCGAAAGAAGCCATTTAAGTACCGAAAGCTTGCCACTCGAAAGCTGCGCCCCAAGGCCAACATTAAAGCATTGTTCTGTCTTCAAGTCCACTATCTGACTAGAGATTTTCGCTTGAGCTTCCCTTAGAAGCTCGGAAGCTGCACTTTCTTGGATAAACGGCACACGAAACAAATGAACAACCTCAGCAGAAGGCTTCTCAACCAAACCAAACTGTTCTCCTACCGAACTCTCACCACTCCCAGAAACCACAACTCTAGGATTCTCTTGAGCTTGACATCTCAAACGCAATGATTTTCGAGATGAGCTCGGAACACGACCCCTATTACAAAGAGTACCCCAAAGCAATTGACTTCTGTGTTTCTGAGGCTTCTTCACCAAAAACAATGTCTGTCTGCATGTACCCTGTAACCAAAACCACAAACCCCATAAACAAAATTGTACTAAATAAAGAAAGTTTTAATAAATGGTAAAAAAAAAAAAGTTTTTTATGAAGCAAAATCAAACCTGAAGGAATTCTGATACCCCAATTTCTCCGGCAACTGCCATATACTCGATCGAGTATTTGAAATCTCTGAGAGAATTAGAGAAAGAGAACATTAAATATTTGAGAACTAAACAAAAAAAGAGAAAAACAAAAAAAACGAATAAAGTTGGTACCTTTTGAACTAGGAGTAGTCGCAGAAGTAAACAAAGAATCACGGAGGCGAAGCTCTCACAATGGTTTCTGTAGAAACAACGAACGATTATAAATCAAAGGTTCGGAGAGAGAGAGAGAGAGAGAGAGAGAGAGAGAGAGAGAGAGAGAGAGAGAGGTGGGGGGGATAATCGTGAAACATACCGTTGGGAAAGGCGGAGGACGGAGATGTGAAACGGCGAAAAATGCGACGGCGCGGCAGAGTGCGAGCCACAGTGTGTTAGTAGAAGAGAAGAATTGGAAATATTCTGATGTTGGTGTTACTTCACTTGAGGACTGATTCGGGTCGAACCGGGTCCGAGTTAGTAGGGTTAGCGAAATTATTTATTTATGTTATAAATAAAATAAAAAGAAAGAGGAACAAAGTTTAGAAAGTGTAATACTAACATTCCTTAATGAGATTAGTTTTATATAAATATATCGTATATCATACAATAATTAATACAAATTATAATAAATAAGAAAGTAAATTATTACGAGGAAAATTATTATAGATAAGAAAGAAAATTAATATAAATTCATTTTTTATAACACTCTCGATTGAATATTTGTTTAAGATATGTTTCGTTAAAATCTTATTAAAAAATAGAAAAAATTTAGTGTAGAAAAAATAATATAATATTCTTTTAACTCAACTGAACGATCATTTCTTCGAAGATGAATATCAATCTTTTGTATTAGTTGGTTAAATTATATTTGAAAGTGATTTTGAGAAAAGGTCTAGAGGAATATCACATGAACAAATTTGTTGGACGCTTATATTACTCTTATTTTGTAGATCATGAGTGAAAGAGAACTTTGAAGAAATGTGTTTTGTTCGGTCTCCTTTTAATGTAATCATTTTTCAATTAATTAATGCATGCAGTATTGTCTTCATATATGGTTGTTGTATTTATTTTTCTGAAAGACAACCCACAAGTTTGTTGTATGTGTTGAATTAGTGATCTCAATCAAATGTATTCTTGACTTATTTTATGTAGTGTTAAAAGTTTTGCGTGATTACATAAAGTTGTTGCTTTGATTTGTTTAACAAATCTCCATGAAATAGGTGTACCACCATAAGTAAACAAATAACTTATTTTTGATCTACCATTATGATGGTCTAACAAGTAACCTGCATTTGCATAACATATTAATTCTAATTTGAATATTTTAGAATAAAACAAACTTATGTCAATTTGCTCCTAAGATAACAAAGTATATGTTTAACTCTTTTTCAACGTATTCGTGCAAGTGAAGAACTTTATCTTGCTAATAGTGTGATAGAAATTAATATATCATGGTGTGTGTAAAACTAGAAAGATAGATCATTGCTTAAATTACACTAAGATATGGTAGTTCAGGAACAATTAGCTTTTCATCCTCGTCTCGAGGTCTAAAAAAATCGTATACACATCATATGATCTAACATCATAGAGGTACATAACATACGAGATTTGTCCATATAGAAATATTTTAACATTTTTTCTATATTTCCTTCTTTGTGTACAAATATTATATTGTCCAAATACTCAATTTGTAAACCTAGACATAACTTTGTATTTTCTATGTCCTTTATCTCAAACTATTTCTTTAAGAAATTTATAACTTTTAAAATCTCTTCAGGAGTTCTAATATATTTATGTAATCCATATAAACAATTATTATAGCAAAAAAATTAGATCTTTTCAAAAAAATACAAGGAAAGGTGGAGTTATTTGTATATTAAATATTCACTTAGACAATTATATCACATGTGTCCATATTGTTTTAACCCATAAAGAGATTTAATGGAGTAGCTTTCTTAAAATCCAAAGTTATGTATCTTTGATATATTAAACTCTTTAAGGAGTTTCATGTAAAAGGTACTATCAAATGAATCGTACAAATAAGTTATCACAACTAGAATAAGTTGTCCAAATTGAAGAATCATCATCATCCTCATCATACTCATATCTTACAACTTATTTGTAATACTTAAAAAGAATATACTCAGTAGTTAGACGATCTTCGGAAGATTCAGTATTCAATGAAGGACCCTTTTTGTTGAAAGAATGACAAAGAAGATGAAGAAGTTTCTTCAACACTCGAATGAAGAAAGAAGAATAAGAAGAAGAAAAAAGAAGAAGAAGAAGAGAGACATCAACCTCGGGGATAAATATGAACGAATTTTCCTCCAATGAAGAAGATGGAATTTGCTTAATGTCATCCTACGAGGGTGATACAGTTCAAGGTATCAAACTTTATTATGCTCAACTGTTTAAAATAAGTGATCAACTAGAAAAAGAAAATGCCAAACTAAGAGAGCATACCTTGGTGTCACGGCGCGAAAAGTACTCGAGTATATCGCACACGGAATACAACACAGTCGCAATCAAATTTTATTTATTCCAAAAGGAAAGGAAAAAGATTGAGAAACCCCACAAACAAATGAGAAATAGATAAGATGGTCATCGTAACTAAATTAGGGTTCGGGAGTCGATTATACAAGGGGAAGATATTAGCACCCCTCACATTCATCGTACTCGATGGTACCCATTTGGTTAGTATTTTGATCGAATGTTAGTGTGTGTCTACTTGCAATATGATTATTATGTGAGAAAAAAGAGAAAGAAAGAAAAATGTTTTGGGTTTTTAATTAGTGGGCTCGCCAAGATTTCGCAATATTGTGCCTATGTATTTTCCAAGTGCCATGGGAAAGTCAGAGCGTACGTAGTTCTTAGTGAACTAAAATTTTTATTGGTGTTGACTCCTGAATTCGACACTCACTATATATTGGTCTTTTAGACCAAAAATGGAACAAATAAAACCAAGCTAGAGAATGTTTCGATGGGTGAAATAACTTAGAGAAAATATCTAAGTTACATATTGGTCTTCGACCAGGAATCACTATCAAGATTTCGACTGAGAAGGTCTGATGACCTTCGACTAGGAGAACATATCTTCGTGTCGACACCAAAAGCGAGGGACATTTGAATTTGAGTTGTTGGAGGGAAAGACGGCTTCGCCAGCAGTTAAAGGAAAGCAACGTGGCTGGAAGCTAGAGGTCAAGGGACATGCAGAGGACACTTGTCTTCATCTTAGAGCAAAGCTACCCCTCGATGGTTACATAGTTTTAATATAAAATAGGAAGTCTGTGTAGTTTTTTAGAGGTGTTCAACCTATTGTACTAGTTACTCAAATATTGTCCAAGTATCCGTTGTGTGTGAAAGGATAAACTGAGAAATGTACGTTGGAAACACCATTTTTCATTAATAAAGTCTTTTTTACATTGCTTTTATCTTATTTTGCAAAGTTACTTTTCCTGAATCTTTACCTGCATTTCTATTACCTTCCTTACTTTCTAAAAACCACAAGCATCTTATCTTTGGTCGAACGTGCGTTCTTCCTGGACATCTATTTTCACACCAAACCAAACATAAAAATTAGCATATGTTCTGGGATCAAACTGATCGATCCTGCGAGTAACCAAAAAGACTTTCCTTTTTGGAGGATCAGCGGTTGTTTACCAAAAACCACGGTAAACAAATTGGCACGCCCGGTGGGACGTTGCTAGTTTTTATTTGTTCATGTTATTGCTTTCCTTTCATAAGTATACATCATTGTATGTTATTAAGAAGTGGTAGAATAACCAACGAGTGTACTGTTAGAAAGAGAAATAGCGAAAGTAGAATGACTAATGAGCCAAATCATGGAGAAATACCTCCACCAAATACTACTGGAACAACGGTTATTACCACCGTTGGAGAAAATATCTCAACTTCTGTTGGTTTAATACCAACATTGACCACAAATTAAGCAGGACCCTTACTAACGTATGTGGGTCCTAGAGGTCCTTTAGGAACTCCCCCATCAAGGGAAAATCCAGGATCTCGACCATACATTCCCCCAGGATTCTCGACGTCCTGGATGGGTCAAGAACAACCATATGGCATGCCAACCACTGAAATGGCTAGCCTTATGAACGTTGCGTCTACTTTTTCAGAACCGTTGGTGAGTGCATCATCGCCATTACAGGGATCTGGAGCCAGTATGGCAAATTTGGGTAGAAACCAGATTTTAGGAGGACCATCGAATGCAATACCAAGCCTCACAAATGCTTCTACAACAATTTTGAGGCAATAAATGGACGAAAGCAACCATGATATCGTGCAAATGTTAGCACAAACTTTAAGTATAGTGTTGAACCCCCTAATTCAAAACATTACCCAGTCAAATCACCAAATGGCAGCGCAAATGATGCGCATGGCTGAATTCTTTGGGGTACCCCAAACCGTTCGACAACCCCAAAGAATACCAATGAGAGTAAACCAAGGGGTGATCGTAGAAGAGGATTTGACTATTAATCAAAATCCTCAGATCCCTAGAGTAGAAATAGAGCAACCTAGGGTCGAAATCCCCCACCAATCCCTAGAGAAATCGATCAAGGAGTGATTATGGTGAATAGGAACCAAAATGCTGATGAATTGATACAGCAAGTTCGACACCAAAATTATGGAACAGACAATAATTTGACTGCCATGATCGAAAGGATTATCATTCAGATTGGGATGAACGTTGGTTTTCACAGACCAAACTTCACATCCCCATTGTCAGAATATGTTCTACAAACAGACTTACCTCCTAGGGGAAAAGTCCCTAAGTTTACCAAATTTTCAGGGGATACGACAAAATCTATTGTCGAACACGTGGCGAGATATTTGATAGAGGCTGGGGAGATAGCAAACAATGAAAACCTTAGGATTAAATATTTCCCAAGTTCTCTAACAAAGAACGCTTTTACTTGGTTCACCACCCTCCCAGCCAATTCGATCCACAACTAAATCAATTGGAAAGATTGTTCCATGAACAATTTTACATGGGACAAACCAAA